TTATCAGAATTGAACTAAGAAATTGTTTGCTGAAGCTGAAATTTTTATAAAGTTTGATAAAATGTTTTTGGCCGATCATTTTGTTCAGGTGCTTTTTTAAAGGTTCCTGAAGATGAATTGGAATAGGTATTCATCTCTGTTGTATAGACGCAACTTTTTTTTGAAGTTGTTCTCATGACGTACTTTTTTGCTTTTGTGACTCTCGCGCTTTTTTTTAGTTGCTGAAAACTATCTTTGACCTATTATTTTCCTTATGGGTCTGATGTTTTTGTTCTCGGATATGTTGAGGACCTGTTTTGTTTTGAATTTTCATTAACCAATTTAATGCCCATTAGCAGTGGAATTTTTCTTCCGATCAGGTTGGCTTTTTCTTTGTCCTCAATGATAAGCGATATCGATAGCTTTGGCCACCCACCGGATTCGATTGACATTATAAATCTTCCCTTCAGTTTAATGTACTGACCGTCGCAGCAAGCCAAAATTTGTTCCGCATTTTGGGATATATATTCGAATGTTACAGAACTGTTATTCTATTTTTTTCTTTGGCGGTTTGATCGTTGAGAAATGACATTGGGCTTCCTGAGTCGACATTTGCAAAATTGTTTTTCGTTCTGATTTTCAATTTTATTATATGTCCGTTTGTGTTGTCTTCTTGGAGGTTCACAGATTTTGTTGATCTCGAATGCTTCTGCGATCGCCATTTTAATAAAGTTGTTTCGCAGTATCTCTTTTAATCAATTTGCAGATATTTAGTTTGCGTATGCGACAGAATCGTTTAATTCGCCATCGGTGACTTCTTTTTCTTCACCCTCTGTCTGGTCTATGTTTGTTGCTGTATGATATTTGATGATCTACAAACATTTGTGAAATTTCCCCGTTTAGCCCATTTTGTACAGACTTTATCTTTTGCGGGACTTGACTAAAAATGCTTTTGTCCGCATTGTTGTCCACATTTGTAAATTTTTTTGTCCAGTTCTCCTTGTTGCTGATAAGGTTGGCCTTTTGTGTTGTAGTTCCCTAGTGGGTAATTTTGTCGGCCTGCTTTTTTTCTGCAACCTCTTTGAGTGATTTGATAACACCTTTTTCCCCTTCGTCCGCGTGGTTGGATCAAATCCGTGCATTTGTGTTTGATTGATGTCGATGACGTGTGTCCGAACGGGTTCATTTTCATTGTTTTACTACGTTCTATCCTTTTTCTATCTCCTTTCTTTCTGACTTTGATATCACTATTCTCCCAACCTGCTTTTTTATCACCTGATTTCGTATGTCTTGATTTCTTTTCTGTGTCTCCAGTATTCTCAATTTAGCGTGTTAGTTTTGTGATTGGAGCTTTATCTCTATATAGATTTTGTACCTCTATCTCATCTTTGGCAAAAACAGCCATTACCATGATGGCTGCCCAATTGGACCATTCCAGTGGTGGCTACGTTGATTCGCTTTGCCAGAACCGTGGGATACTAAACGGTTTTTTGTATCTTGTGTGCTGCGCTATCTCATACGGTGATGTATGAACACTTCTAGAATCCCAACCGATTGTTAATTAGACCCTCATGCACGAATGAACTCATGTGAAGGCAAAAACAGCTGATTGATACATATTAATTCACTAGTTCTGACAGCTATTGCTCTCAACTATGCTTTGCTATATCAAATTAGGGTCACCACATGACCAGTAATGTCAACCGACCGGATGACATAAACAAAAAAATGACTAGAAGTGAAAGTTTTCAAAAGTTGAAAAAAAAATGTTTAAGACTATCAAATTACATTTTTAAAAGACTTCTGGATTTTTTCAAACTAGATTTTTTAAGTAAAGATATCCAAAAGAGAAGTCGGAAAAATTAGGGATTTACTCGATAAAAAGCTTTACTTTGAAACTTCTTTTAAAATTTTCAAACTTTTCTTTGCCTTTACTTTATTTTAAAACTTCTTTTAAAATTTTCAGAAAATTTCTTTGCCTTTTCATTATTTTCAAAATGTGATTTTAATTTTGAAAAATCAGTTTCATATCAAGACATTGAAATTCTCTGGTTCTTCGCCTTCAATTTACAGGCTGTAATTGGAAATTGAAATTGTAAATTCTTTTTCAATCTAATAGAAAATTTTCTGGCTGGGCGTTTGAAATTAATTTGAGATGACTGAAAGTATTCGGATATGTCCTCAATCAAAGGCTCATAGCAATGGAACGACGGCGAACCAAAAAACCACACGAGCAAATTAGCGGATGATGTTTGTTTTATGGACCGACAGCAGCGGAACCCCAAATGCGATATGCGAGGCCGCAATTAAGTCTATACGGAATTAAATTTTGCACTTAAAAGTTACATTTTGGAAATAGAATATCAAATAATCTCTGATTTTTTTCTAGCTAATTCAAAATTTACATGGGTTCGACTCTCATTTTTTAACCTCTCGACAACAATTGGAATGATAACCTTTCAGCATCTTTTTAACAAACTTCAATTGGGAATTATTTTTTCAAAATTCATGACAGCTTCAACTATCTCCTTGAAATGGAGAGCATTTCGCTTTTAGTAAAAAACTCGCGGATAAGCTTACCATTATTTTAGCCCTACATATATCCGATAGGAGATACCCTAGCTTAATTTTATTTGTTAAAATGATTTAAACTCCAGATTAAGGTTTGAGTTTGTAGTACAAAACTCAAAACGTGGTTACTTGAAAGATTTGGCCAATCAAATAGTTTCTGAATTCGAACGGTTCTTTTTCGTGTAAAAGGTTTGAAAGGTTTGGCTAATCAAATAATTGTTCGAACGGTTCGATTCTTATAATACCCGGTTTTAGAAATGCACAGATGATTTTTAACAGAGATCAATTAAAGACTACTCTGACCCCTCCATGCACAAAAACATAACTGGCTATTTCATGAGATTTTTTGTAGAATTGGGCGTAAAATTTTAGAAAACTCGTTGGGAAGTTTGCATTTCATTTTAAAATCTGTTCCAGGACAATCAACCCGATACCAATTTACCCTATGCCATTCTACCCTATACTAATCTACCCATTATTCCGATCTATCCTATGCCAAATTAGTCTATGCAAATTTACCTTATGTTCTATAAAAAGTTCAACAAGTCAGAGATAACTGAATTTCTTATCTCGGTTTAAGGTCACCAGTGAGCGCGCTCGCCGCTTCGTGGTGATAACCGGCTCCAATTTTCGTATAGACTCCTTCGCTCTGTAGGCAAGCTCGCAACACGTTGACGCGACTTCTGCAATCACTATTTTGCTGTTATCAGACCGTCTCAATTTAGGCGTAGGGTAAATTGGCGTAGGATAGATTGGCAAAAGCTAAGTTAAAAACATAAGGTAGAATGGCATAAGATAAAATGGAAAAGGGTAAATTGGAATAAGGTAAGTTGTCCTGCTACCTTATAATCAACACTGTGATATAAATAAAAGCTTTTTTCTTGGATATGAAGAATATCCCACGAATAGAGCTTGATGTTAACAATTATGGGGTAGAGTTAAGACAGAGTTGCATAATTTTTATGACTGGGTTGGATTTTTTCAAACAAAGTTCGACTTTATGACAAAGACTTTTTGACAAAAAATATCAACCATCAAAAAATATTGTTGTCTTGAGCTCAAATGTAAGAAACTGTTCAACTGTGCGTCTTTCAAGATCAATTTTTGCACTGCTGTTTTGATTTGAGCCTGGGTCCTGGCGAATTTTAATTACACTGAAAAATTAAATCAACTCTGCAATGGCGTAAAACGTTTCAAATTATCATCAACTTTCAAGTTGTTTTCTTTTAAGTTGAAAACAAACTACTTTTATGGGAACCATTCAAGGGGGTTTTGATATTCAAATTTTTTTATTTAAAAAAAGCTAAAATTTGCTGTTAAAATGACGTGCCTAAAAATTTTTTAAAAGTATTATTAACATGTTGTTTTCAACAAGGTACTAGCGTGATAAACGTGACATTTTTTAGCGTCGGTTGGTTTACTTGAACTTTTTTGTTAAAAAATCAAACAATTCTGCTGGTGGGAAAAAATTTGCAAAGAATTTTTTTACATCCTTTAAGAGCATGACGAGAGAATCAAGAATTTTTCTGGAACTTCATCATAAACATTATTTTTCGAGTTTTGTAGTTATATGCTATTTGAGCTCGACTAAAGTAGAAAAAATTTGCTATTAAACTTCAAATAAAATAGTCATCTTCAATCACCAAAAATGAAGTCACCAATTTGAGGCTATTTTACAGGTTGTTAGTTAAGAAAGGAGTCTAGTTTTCTTAAAAACGTTGTTAGTTTTCTCCCATGATGATTTAATAATGGTATAAATTTTGTGTAAAAATGGAGTTAAGTCTTGGTAGTTGCGTTGAAAATGGAATTGAACCTAATTATTATTATTTTTTCTTAAACCCATATAAGGTAGAGTTGTCAGATTTCGCTAATGCATATAATTGTTTTTTTTTTCAAGCAGAACAAATTAGCTGCGTACAACTTTGAGCAACCAATCACATCAAATCAATGCCGAGTAGTTTGCTCAGATATCTCCTAACTAGAAATAAATTGTATCTTTCAAAATCCTGTTTAGAAATGGTTATTTTTGATTTGAGGGAGTTAATTGGATTTTTTTTCCGAAAATAATGAAAAGAGACCACAGTCAATATATTCAGTCCTGAAACTTGATATAAAAGCTTTTCTCGAATTTTAATTACAAATAAGTGTTTACAAATTGAATCTACTAATTTTAGAAATCGCGTATGTAATATTGATCTATTTTCAAATACAATAATAATTTGATCCAATCAGTTAAAACTATTTTTCACTTTGCTTTATGATTTGCAGTTATTAGCTTTTTCGTTAAAAGCAAAATTTTTAGTCAAAGATCACTAGCAGAACATAAATTTCAGCTAATCAAAGGTCTACAGTATAAAAATAAAAAGTAGCGAAAAAACAAACCTTAACTTCAACTCTTTTTATCACTTTCAGCATAAGCTCAAAAATTAACTATAGATTAAATTGGCTTGGAATTTTTTTTCTTTTTGATATCAGCTAAATTGTATACACCATTGGAGCTTAAATTTGGATAATTTCAGATACTTTTATGATAAAAATTGTTCTCCAAAAACTATTAAAAAATGAAAATTATGATTCAATATTTCAATATTGGCTATTTCGATTATACATAGCTTGAGCTAATCGGCAACGTCATGCTTCTATCCAATTGATGAGTGCTGAAGTCTTTCCCGGGAACATTCATCGACTTCGAAATTTTTGGAGAGTTCGGATATGTTATGTTGAAATTCAACGCATTCGGTACATTATTATTGAATTTGCTTTCCTCGCAATAATTCGTAAGGTTGTTTCGTATCGCAGATATCTCGTAATCTTTCCAAGACTCTTTCACAACTTTTGCTATCATAATTGAAAACTGGATTAAATTTAACGCCCAAGAAATGAATATTGGAATCATAATTTGAATCTCTTCACTCGAAAATATATAATTATTGATTTGTTCGGATTTGTAAAAACTCGAAGATTCAATAAAAAATAAACCAAAAGTTGCCAGGCTATTAAACTGAAACATGATCAAAATAAGAATAAACGAAACGAAAATATTCATTTTCAAATTTGAATCGACTTCGCGCGAAGTTCTTGAAAACGAGTGAAAAATAACTATCACTACTGACGCCAAAGAAAATAAAATAGCTGAAAAACTAAGTGCTATTCTGCCCGATCTTTTGGATGAAGAATTGTGAGATTGTTGTGGTTTTCTTGGATTTTGCAAAGGAGCGTTTTGGGAAGTTTTCTTTGGATAAATATTGACAAAATTGTGTTTCACGTCTTCAAATTGTTTAGAAAATTCGACTTTTTTCACGTTTTGTATAGCATTTGTCATATTGAATTTCGGTGATTGTCTTGATAAGTAAAGACAGAATTTCTGAAAAGGTGAGATCAACTGAGAGCAACAAGGACATGTTTTAGGATCTGGTTGCGTTTGTTCCGATGTCCAAGGTTTAGCGACTGCGTTTTGATGTCTCTGAATTTCCAAGCTGAAAAAAAACTATTAGCTACAATAGTTGACAAATTTTTGTGTTATTATTGATTTTCTATGATTTTTCACTTTTAATTTGCCTCATTCCTTCAAAAATAAGAAAAAAAACACTGCAAAATACCATTTTTCACTGCAAAATACCATTGATAATTTTGATTTTTTCTAACAAATCTTGCAGGCGCGAATCTAGGATTTTCATGAGAGCACAGAATTTAAATTTAAAAAAACTTCCAACATTTAGTTGATTTTTTTTGGAGTTTTTGCTTTTTTTGATTTCAAAAATTCAATTTCATTTTTAAAATTTTCAATTTAAAGAGTTATTTCACTTACTTTCCCTGATGAATAATTGCCCAGATAGGGTTCAGTTCATTTTTATTACCATCGTTCCAAGTACCGTCATTATTTTTCAAACTTTCTAGATTTGTTGTCTCCGACTGTCGATAATTATTATTTTCTAAATTAGTTTCTCTGTTTGCGTTTGCGTTTTGTTTTTCTTCGTTTTTCGGGCATTGAGAATTTTGGTCGAATTGTGCAGAGACTGTTATGATGTGTTCGGCTACAAACGAGCACTGATCAACAAACATGGAGAAGTCACGTGCGATGAATTTGTTTTCGAGCTCCAAATCTCGGATTGCCTGGAAATGAAGAAAAAAGTATCAAATGTCAATTTTTTCAAGTGTAACTTATTGAAAAAAAAAATTAATTAAATAAAATTCTGGCAAAAATATAGTTACCAGTACTAATCATTTTTGTGAAATATGAGCTTAATCAAAAATGCTTAAGATGACTTCCTTAATATAACTTTTTTTTTTCAACAATGAAATTTCAGAAATTAGTTTAGCCATTAAAAGCGAATTTTTTTTTTAATTTAGTGAATACGAACTCAATTCAAAATTTTTAACTTACCTGGTTTAGATTTGTTTTAAACTGTTCCTCGCTCTGATCGAGCTGTCGGTTCATATTATATTGATGAGCCTTAAGCATTGCCATCTCAAACTCATTGTAGCCTTCATTAGTGTAGTTGAGATCCGTTTTTGCAACCTCACCCTGAAACTCAAAATTCTGAACCATAATTGAATCTACATTTATATTTAATGCCAAATTGTTGGGAAAATCAGTGACTTAAAGCAACTTAATAGCCAAAGAAATTTGATAGATGTTTGACACAGTTTGTAGAATCTGAAATAAGTTTTAAAACTTATTACGTCAAAATGAGCAGTTTTGGATTAATTTTGCTCAGATTCGCTGACCCAAGCAATTTGGCATTAACTAAGAAAACTAGATTTAAAGTCGATATAGGTTGTTTGATCCGCACTCTGTGAAAAAATTGAAAATATAAGAGAACGGACTGTTAATGCGTAAGCTAAAACAAGATAGTCCGTTAGAAACAAACCTGTCTCAACTTTTGCAATCCAAATCTCAGAAACAGAATTTTTTTTCGGTTTTTTGAACTTTTATCTTTTCTTCTGTGTTAAGTACAAGAGGAGCAGTTTTGCATGTAATAATGTATTGAACATACCAAACAAATTGCCTTAACCACCCACTTTGCAAAAATTTTGGAGCCGCATTTTTGCTACTTAGGCGTTTAAGAAAAACATATAGCGATTCTATTGTCCAAGCTTGAGCTTGATCAATTTCAGCTTGGTAATTTTGACGTTCATAAATTGCATAAAACCTGTCGCAGGTGAAACATTTTTGCAATTTGGGCAAAAAAACTAATAACATTTGTCTGATATATACAAAACTTTTTTAAAATCACAAATTAAAGAAAAAACCAAAGGATCAAAAATACAACTGCCGAAAAGATTTCTTTCGACAGTGATTATTCAACTCAAATCACCTTTAAAAAAGGCTTTTTGCTGTGTATATTTTGACCCCAAATCGTTTTTTGTGATAGACCTTGCAAAAAAAACCACCAAGAAGTTTAAAACTGTTCCCCACGATACCATGTGGATTGAAAAGTAATAACATTTAGTCTGATTTTTCTGAAGTCTTTGATGGCCGTGCCCTAATTACTATACAAACATACTCCGATTATAACAAGGATAGCCGATTGCTGAGCAAGTACTGCAGAATATTCCGAACATATTCATAAAGTAGATATAAAAAGTTAATTTATATTTTTTTCAAATAAGTGATGTTTTTAGTGGGGTGTGATTCGAGAACATTACAATTGTATAGAAAATTTAACAAAAAACAATTAAAAAATTTTTTTCAAAAGTTTGGCCTAATTTTTTTCAAACAAGCGCTAAAAAACGTCGAAGAAAACGTCCTAGCAATATCTAAGAACACATTAAATTTCTTCATAACGAGCTTTACTCGATCGTGTTACCCACTTAACAAGTTCAAACTTTTTCTTGGCACTGGGACGCTTTTTTGAAAACTTTTAAAAATCATTCGAATCACGACTGAAAGGGCCTTATTATGATTATTTGTCGATGATTATTTGTGGTAAACTTCTTATTTTTTATTCAAGCTCCCACCACAACCAATTTTATTTACAAATTGATCTTTTTGCCCTGATTAACGCTTTATTTGGAAATTTTGTATGAACTTATGTAGTCCTAAACTCGAAGTCTTCAACTCAGGGGCAGATCTAGGGTTTTCTCGAGGGGGAGGGGGCTGATTTTCAGAAAACTTTTGACGACCTTTTTCTAGGTCGATCGAAGTGATTTTCCGAGTACTACCAAAGCACTAAGAAGACCTTGTTTTGGCCAAAGATTCTGTGAAAGGCAAAATTTGAAGAAAAAAACAGGCCAAAAAACAGGCGTTTTTAATAACTTTTTCGAAATTTTTGAGGTACTTCCAAATAATACAATTATTCTAAGTGTTCTTATACTCTAATTTCTGAGAAAAAGGAGCGTCCACCCCCCCCCCCCCCCCTCTAAATCCGCGCCCCTGCTTCAACTTCATGACAACTAATCAGAAAAAATTGTTTTATAAATTTACGAATTTGAGCGCAACGCGCCAGCATCTTTCATATGGTACAAAAATGTTTTGAAAGACGGAACACCAATGAAAGAGAAGATGCCCGCAGGAATTTATTAACTCATGAAATATAATTCAAGTTGCCGAAGAATTATCTCCGAAGATAATTTCCGAAACATTGTTCGAAAGTGGGGGCTTTTTATTCACTTTTAGAGTAGGTGAAAATTACCCTAATTTTACAATTCTATTACTACAAAATTATTAAGCTATTATAACCATATTTTAAACATTTGCGCCAGTTCAATCCCCTTATTTTATCGTTTATCGGAGAAAGCAAAAAAAAAGTTGGGAAAAAATTCAGATTTTGAAAACAATGACAATATTTGAAAATGAAATCAATTTACGCATCAGTCTGTACTCACCATTCACCACCAAAAAAAATGCTCACCTGATTTTGAGACAATCGTGACACTAAATAATCAGCTGGTCCAATCGTCAGCAAAGCCAGCACGAGAAGCAAAATGCAAACAGTGCCTTGTACAGATGCCAGAAATTGGAACATTTTGCCAAACATTTTCTTCGAACTGCTAATATTTAAAACCAGGAATAAAAACATTGTCAGGGTGAAAAATAAAACAAACAATGTTGACAGTTTTTTAACGTCAGCTAGGAAATAAACCATCAGAATTGTAATGAGTCCTGCAACTGAAGCAAAAATCAAACTGAACAGAATCCGCTGCCAAGTTTGATCCTTTTCGTGGTAAGTTGTAATCGCAACTGGTTGATTTTGAGGCGACAAAATGAAATTATGTGAAGCTGAAAGAATCTGAGACCTAGCCATGGTCGGGGTTCGAAACGGGCTGCTTTGGGTAATGTTCATGTTTGATTGGAAATCGATGGGCAAAGGTTTGTAGTGTCTATTTTTTAAAGTCACGAATTGTTGGTAAGGATCATTATTTTCCGAGTCATAATAATACGGTTGATGAGTATTCGACTGAGTATTTGTGGTATTGTTACTGCAAGAACTGATTAAAATATTATCCGCCGAGGCATTGTTAAATTTTTCCTTTGATTTTGAACTTCCAAAAGCGGTGAAATTCTGTCCATTTTCTTTGAAACTGTACTGATTATCCTGGTGATTTTCGTTTGACCGATCGGAGCTGAGAAACTCCAAGGATTTACTCGGAACCTTAAATTGGTCATTTTCAATTTTAGATCGACACGACATTATTGTAACTTAAATTAGCATGAATGCTAAATAATAATTGAAACTGAATAAAACTAAAGGAAACTAAACGATACAAAATGAAACTAAATAATAACTAAACGGGTTAGAGAAATTGTAAACAAAAAGGTTATAAGTCAAAGAAAAAGGTTTAAATTAGGTAAATTGGTTCTGTAATTTAAGTCTCCCCTGACTTTAGAAGGTTAAATGGCATGTTTGATTGAGTGCAATTAACGTTTAGCTCAAAGATACACCAAATGGCAAAGATAACAAAAGAAAAAGAAAAAAATGTCTGGACTGAAAAAAAAAGTATTTTTAATCAATAAGATCAACAATCAATTAGGAGACAAAACAACGCTGCAAAAATATTTCCGATGGTTTTGAGCAAAAATCTAAAGCTTTTATTAAATTAATTGTAAAAATGGCAAAATTGAATAAATTGTCTTTTTACTGCGCTTCACTGTTAAATAGTTATTCGTTTTTTAGTCATATCTTCAGCAGATTTCTTCTTTACTAATTTGGTCAATAAATGCGGAAACGATTAAAAATCAATCTGAATTTGCAGCAATCGTGAAATTTGATCCTGAAAAGGCTTGAAAAATAGAAGCGTTTCCGGGTGGAATAACTTTGAAGAGAATTAAATTGACGGGCGTCCTTTTCAATTAAAAGCTGATTGTACCAATTTCAAAGATAATCAAAAACTTATTTTATGTTAAATTTTCAATGAAATTTTTCTGCTCCGTTTGTGCTACCGGACTGACTGTTTTTAAACACATGTTGCCAAAATTGATTGAAACCATTTTTTAATTTAACTGGTAAAAAAGCCTCGCGTTAGTTTTCTGAAGGCAGATGGTTGTAAAATTGACTCCCGAAGAATAGAATATTAATAAAAAGGGCACAGAATTGGATTTAAGAACTAAATTTTGATCAATCCGTTATTAAAAAACCAAATTCCGTCAAAAATGGTAAGAGTCTTTAAAGGAACGAATTAGCAAAACGTAAATTTCCAAGATTATCCCAAAATCATCCCTAAAATTTGCTTTGTGTCAATGTGTGACATATATTTATAAAACTTGACGTAAAATTAAGATATAAACCGATTAAGTGGAGCTAAATCTAATAACGAATATCGAGTTGAGAAACTAATATCTGAAAATCATTAACAAAAGCTATTTCATAAAACATACCTAGATAAAACTGATATCGCCAAAGAAATCTAGCTTTAGACCTTTAAGATGCTTTAAATCGTTAAATTTAAAGCCAAGTCTTACGTAAGATATGCTAAAATTTACCAAATGGTGTTAAGACAAATATAATTTCTTGGTTAGGTAAACAATAAGGATGCTTTGAAACTACGGACCTAAAAGAGCTAAATTTTCTGCATAGTTTAAGTTACTATTGCAAGTAATATACTTATTTCTGACTTCGTACAAAAGCCTATATATGTGACCTTTCATCAAAATTTTATATGATATTTTATTTTGCGAATGGCCTTCAATTATGTGAGAAGTTGAACTTTTGAAGCCAGAATTGGTCTTGAAATAGAAATGAAATTTTAGTAACTGAAATAAATGAAAAGGTTAGTATCCGACATTGAAAGTCAATTAGAATTTGAAACCTCCCTTAAAAAGCAAAATGGATTTCGCAATCATTATGTGAATACTTGGCATTAGCAAGTGAAATCTGGTTAAAACTAAGCAAGCAAACGTAAGCGTGTTTCCAAATTTTGAAGGAAAAAAATTTAGGCACAAGTATTATTTTCAAACTATTAAAGCGAAGTTCATTTTTTTTGCATTTTTTTTATAGGAATCCTTCAAATTGCGAAAAAAATTTAGAAAGTAAACCATGCTTGTTGCGCTCACTTTTTGTCAGTTTTTTTGTGGTAACTAAAGTGGGTTGTCAGTTGTTGCGCTAGTAGCACAGAATGTTACTACTACAGTCATTTTTGCAAGCAAAAATTGAAAATAGCTCAAATTTCCGGAAGTTGAAATCTTCTTTGAAAAGTTTTTTATAAAAAATGATGAACTTTTTAATTGAAGAAGTAGAAAAAACATTTAGATGTTTCTGTGAAAACAAAACAACAAAACGCTCTTTTTACTGGGTTAATTTTGGAAGCAAAAAATGCAGTACTTTTTTGACATTGAGACGTCTCGACATCTTATGAGGTTTACTGAAGTTCGGTTCACGGCTAAAATGTTTCAAAATAATACCACACTTAAGCCATTAGAAACATTCCAAAAGCAACCTAAAAGTGGGCAGAAAGAAAAACACCAACACCAAATTTTGTTCGAGTTTGATTGGAAAAAAAAACTCGCCTAATACAAGAGAAAAGTTCACTTTTAGTGTGGTTGAAAAGTCACACTTTGACACTTAACTCAAATAACTAAAGCACTACAAGTCAAATTTTGCGGAATTGAAACAGTTTTTAAAAAGCACTGTTATAAATTATGCCGAGTTTATTTTTTTCCGTGAAAATGAAAAACAGCTTAATTTCTTAACAAATAAACAATAAACGACTGTCTTTATCTTCAAAACTTTTTTTGGTCAAAATTTACAGGTTTTAGTTTATCTTTTTTTTTGAAGTTGCAGATATCTTCAATTTTTTTCTTTATCAACAGACTTGAAATTGTGTCTAACAATTGCTCCATATAATGCTCACTAAAATCAATTTCTGCTTTCTGCATTTTTTCAATGCGTGCAGATCAAAAAAAGAAAAAAACGTAGCTTTTATTTAAAAAACTACCCAGACAAATTGAAGAACGGAAAATTTTGCTAAAAATTTACCTGATACTAAACATTTTCATATTTCGGAATCTCTCCAAGCAAAAATTTTGCCGTAGGCTTGTTTTCCATTTTATGTTCAGTATATCAAAGAAAGCCCAAAAGCACTCAAAAAGATTATTGAATAATAACTTTTTTTTCTTATTTTTCAATTAACTGGTTTTGTATTGTTACAACCTATAGAAATTAAATTGGAAGTCTTAAACTGTGTTAGCTTCAGATAACTAGCGGTTTTATTATTTCACTATGATACTCACCAAAAAATCAGCTTTTGTCTGAAGAAACAATTAATCAAAGTTATTATCGCAAACTAAGCGGTGCATATATCGATACGCTTTTGATCAAGAATACTTGTGTTTTTTGTACTAAGGTTGGCTACTGTTTTTCAATTTTATAGTTTAGAATTTAAAAAAAAAACATAACGTCTATCATCCTCCTCACTTTTATGGAGGGATGTTATCATGATTCTATGTGGGAACTTTCAGCCAAATAGAATCAAGCATAATGCAGCGCATTCCAATGTTAATCCTAAAAAAGACTGCTTGTATCAGGACAAAGCCCTGAATGTTTCGACTGCCCATTATTGGTCTCGAATAGTTTTTGGAATAAGAAAATTACACATACATACTACAAATTTTAACCTGATAAAATCAAAATAATAAAATTTGATTCGTTTATGGAATTAATAAGACCAATTAGCTTGTATCAATTCAATTTGACACGCCTATGAAAGCGGATAATTTGCCAAGTATAAATATTGCGGGCATCGAAATAAACTTTTCCAAGTAATATTCCAGCATGAAAGCCGCACTTTAGTCAATCCCAAGATAACCGTATCAATTCCCATACGAGGTCAAGTTTTCCAAAATCGGTCTGAATAAAAAAAACACCATGGGCATATATATTCCTCACTTTCTTCGAAGGTCAAAACAAAAAATGGTGGGTTGGAAGATCGTACTTTAGTCTAACTCGGTGGGACGATATGTTAACTCAATAAATAGCGATTGATCTGTTTTCGCAGTCAATTTCGGCATAAACCAAATACAAATTTGAAATTGATTCTGTGGTCTGGCAAGATGAAGCAGGAGCAATTTGAAGACAATTTTTGAATTTTGAGCTAAAAACACCTCACTTACAATGGTCAAAAGTTATCTGGAAAAATAAAAGTACTATTGATAATAATGTCTCAAATACAAAATCTAACCACGCAGAATTTTCATATTATCAATAGCTCGAGAAAAAATCAACAACCTACTTTCTATAGAAACGAAAAATGAACAAGTAAATCAAACGGCTGCGTTTTATACGAATCTGAATCAAGATTTATTACTTCGTTGTGTTGCTTTTTGTTTTTTTCGGTTTTTTTAAACCTTCTTGATTGTTGAAAGTAAAATTCGAACCAATACAAAGGTAAAATCAAACAAGGAATTCAATGTAATCAAAATCAGTCTAAATTTTATCTGTTTTTTTTCAGGTTATAAAACATAAATTATAAATCGCTCCGTTAAGCTTAATGGTGTGATAATGCTATCTGGTAAGTCCCTGCTAGCAAGCTAATCATTACCAACAAAACCATCATAATTTAGCTAATGTCTAGAATTCATCCGATTTTTTCTAGTAAACTCTAAACACTAACGCTACAATAATTTTAAGCATCTTCGTTTTCAAAAAATTATTCTCTCTGGTTATTGCAATAAAACAGGTTCCAAACAACTAGCTACTAATATTAAATTGGCACCGATATAACAAAAATAAACTTTAAACTGAAGTTTGATCTATCAGTTGAGTTATTATATGATTGAATTGAAGAGAATTAGTACAAAGTTAGAATCATTAGTTTTTTTTCACGGAAAAGTTCAAATGCTGTAAATACGGTTAAGTAGCAAAAGACCTGAAAAATAGACAAGCTATTAGATTAATGGGGAGTGAAAGTATAGAAAAGAGTCATTGAAACTTTGAGGTGCGCAAAAGTAAAAGCTTTATCGTTGCATAATCAAGCATGAAAGCGTAAACAATTTTGAGGGTGAAAAACGCTTGACAAAATATATTGAAAAGAAAAGATAATTAATCGGCGGAACATAATTTTTCAGTGCATTTAAATATTGCTTCGAGCATATATTACCTCGGTGTACCTTAGCTAAATAAACTTGGACTTTAAAAAAGAGGTGTAAGTGCAGCATAGG